AGCTGTTAGATAGAAAATGAAAAGACAAAATGACATATAGCACGGTGGCAGCTTGCTCGAACTCGTAACAAACTAAAGCATTTAAAAACGAAACTCCAAAAAGCGCAGGAACTTTCTTCACTACCTAATATTTAATAATGGCATGTATAGTGAGGCATTTCCATTTACTGTTCGAACACTCTCGAAGAAGTTAAAAAGCATCATCAAGGGGCTCTATGGTCTATTTTCCAATTCCTACCTTTTGAATTTTTCATAACCTCAGTGACAAACACCATTGAGCACTTATGTGTCAGTTGAATCCAGTTATAAACGAGAGTGACTTTAACGCAGGATGCGGTGCAACACAAGAGAACAAGGTAAAGTTTATTGGGCGTTCTTTCTTTAATTACGCAGACACTCATTTGCTTCGTTCTGTAACGTATTAAGACATAGTCTGAAAAATATATAACAGAGAACACATTTTTGTGGCACAAGCCGTCTTACTCACCAGTGATGAAAATAGTAGTTTTACTTCTTTTTTGACACTCCACTAAACGGGAATCATGTTTTTGTGCTTCTCTTCACCTGGTTTTCGTCCATTTTGTTCGAGCCCTTCTTGAGGATCTGATCCCTGCTCCTTTGATGGTCTACATTCATTCGGCATTGCATCCGTGCTAGCCTTACAATCTCCATGTTGCGTTATCGCTTCACTAGTATCGAGAGCTTGATCATCCACTGTTTCCCTGGAGGGTAGCGCTGTTTCGCGTGACGGTGGCGGCGTTGTTCCCTTTGATATGGGCACTGTTTCTTTTGATAAGGGCACTGTTTCTCGTGACGGAAGCGTAGTTTCGCGTGAGAGCTCCTTCGAAGCCAACTGGTTTGTTGGGTCATCTGCTTGAGGCATGGATTCCCCTCCCTGTTCTTCGAATGTTTCCATACTTCGATCTCCCGATTCTGAATAAATTGAAAATCAATGAACAGCTCTATTGCGACCAACAGTATCCGTACTTGTTGATTTTCTTCTACGAACACGGTGGGAATTTGAAATCGCAGGTCTTAAAGTAGCGTCAACCTTCTCGAATTCGGTGTATTCTTCTTCCTGAAACAAACTCTTCAGTACCAAGAATCAGCTGCCATCACGCCATTCAAGAAATAATCCTCACCACAGATTCTGTCACTCCTTTGTATTTTTTCTTGTAATCAGATTTATATTTGCTCTTCTGCAATGACACACTAATAGTAATGTGAGACGACGTCACTGCTCTCAAGGAGGTGAGAAATTCAGTTTCTTGCTCTGACACACGGAAAAATTGCGGTTTGTTTGGAGGTCCTGGGTGTCAGCATCATAGAAACGCAACACATACTTATCTACTTCCCATAGCCCTCCTCAGATTCTATTAACATATTGTGTTCTGAAGCTTCTGTCACACCTTCGTTCATCAGTGGCAGAGGTGACTGCAGTCTAAGTGGACCATCGATAGGAAAAACAGGGTACGTAGATAGTCTAGAATGGGTGCCAACGGAATATCGTGGAATTCATAATATTAGAGACCAGATTAGTCCCCCGTCAACCGCCGGGACCTTCCTTTCCTGCGCAAGCTTTCTATCCTCCGCTATGGTCCCTTCCTCCTGTGACACCAACACCTCGTGGAAGTGACGCGTATGCAACACAATGGTGTTTCAAACAGTAGAAGGGACACAATCATGATATGACGGTAGATTTTTCGCTTCCCTTCCTCATCCTCCCTTCCTCTCCACTGCCCTCCAGCTGCCACTGCAGCACCATGTGGAATGAACGGAAGTGTGCTAAGCAGGTGTTTATATAGCCCTAAGAGTGTTATCACAACTATCCTGCTACAAAACATTGATATCTCAAATCCTGTAAGCTACCCGATTTGTTAGCGGTTTGTTTATCCCATGAGCTTCCTTCTCACTCACTTCATTTTGCGGACGGACACACATACATACATACACACACACACACACACACACACACATACAGATACACAAACCGACACACAAAGTTAGCGCTTTATAAAATAGAAGGATTGTTGGCTTGTTCCCTAAAATCGATTTGTTGTGAGGTCGGTCTTCTAAGCCTTGCACAGCATCGATAACACCCTCATTGACACATTTCAAGAAGTTCTACGTTTCGAATTTCGTGATAAAGCCCTGAATCTCGTGGCACACAAACAGATACATATTAGCAGCCCTATAGAATACCATTGGGATTTGCATTTCCAAGATAGCCAGCAATCTGTGACCTTTTCTAGCACCACCAGCGAATACCACGAATAACCCCTGTGTCCGAACTTTGGCAGCATTTTCGTGAACTTCTTCACAATAGTTTTTCTTTTTGGTTTTCGTACCGTTTCATAACTATACTCGAAAAAAATGAAGTATTTATCTGAGTTGACGACTAACAAGCAAAATACATCTCGGAACTGCCAGCTCATCACTTCGGAATACTTATGTTTTATTAATGCTATCGGTTATTCATTGAGACACTCGCGCGAACAGCAGCATTTTCCCGTTGAATGACGTAATTCAGACACTACATCGACTTGAAAAAAGTGCTAAGTATTACTGCAGGACGTTCTGGTAGTGTGTGGTGTCCATTCTGTAGTTCACTGAGGAATGCTCCATCACAACATCATCAACGAGAGCAACCCAAAGCTTCACACCTCTTCCACCATAATTGGTCATGCTGCGTTGAACGGTTTGCTTTCTCAATTCACGCCAGAAGCGTTCGTGTATGTCGAGACCTGTCACCTTCTTGATTCGAAAAAAAAACAATCTAAATTATTATTCAGCTGGGTATATCGCGACAGTTACAGACCTACCTTCATCAAACCTCTTTCTGGTCCACCTTTTAGAATTGGAGTAGTGTAATTATCTCGTACCTAATAAGCTTAAGATCACCTTCGTTGCCTTTCCGACAATGTAGCTGCTTTTTCTCATCGCTCTCCAAACCTTATTTTTGACGCAGAAATGTTCGAATCTAGATTTGAAGATATATACAGCTCGAAAAATCCCTCAAACTCTTCCAGTACCTGATGGAAACCCTCATGGACCTTGAAATCTTTTTATCAGCTGGAGACATTAGCACTTCGTATCTGTGGAACAAGCAAAGAGTTTTCCGATCTGTTTTGCAATAAGTTTTAGGTCAGTCCAGCTTCTTGTAATGCATAAATCTATGCCGTTCGTCAAAAGGCATTTTGAATATGTAGTTCGATAATTCGTCAGTGACAGGAAAAGGCACTTCTTGTTGAACTCCACAATAAATAAATTGTTCATTCTCTAGAGATGCTGGTGTTTCTTGAGAGCCGAGTACTAGGGTTATTCTTGCTAACGATCAATGGTAGGTAATGAGAGAGAAATTGCAACCTGGCTGTGAATGTCAAAATATAAGGGTAGCTGTGGAACGTATTGTATTGCTTCCTTAAATTCTCTTCCACTCATACGTTGATGTTAGCAATTTGGGCCTTTTCAGCACTACTGGTTTTCTATCACTTCATTATATAAACCAGAACTTTGGTGTGTCGGTTTGTCGGTGTGTGTGTCGTTCTGTCCGTCCGGACCAACCGCTCACAAAACCAGGGAGTACGAAGGGCAACACTTCGTGATGTTGATGTCATGATCATGATAACACCCACAGCGGCTATATAAACACCGATCGAGCACACTCATTTTCTACAGTCGATATCCGAAAGTTGGGGTAGGCGTGTCACCGGAAGTGACGTGCACTTGATAGAAGTTGCGTGGATAAGCTGTTGCCAGCATGCTTTGCTGATATCCAGCGATGTATGTTGGAAGCAGCTTATCCACATAGATTCTATCAAGTACACGTCACTTCCGGTGACACGCCTACCCCAACTTACGGATCTCGAGTATATGGTGCTGCCGTGGCAGCCGGATGAGCGGGGAGGGGGAGAGGGGTAGAGGGAAGGGGGCAAGAAAGGGGAGGCTGGAAGGGAGGGGAGGGGGAAGAGAAAGAGGGAGGGAAGGGGAGAGGAGAAAGGGAGGAGAACATGGCGCTGCCATGCGCCGGAGAGAAGGGGTATAAGGAGGTATAACACATTCAATAGTGAGGTGGTTAATGGAGTACGTCATGCTGCTATTCCGTGGTTCCTCCCTACCCTGTGATGCGCGCGATAGCGGGCGGAGCAAACTTGGTGATCGCTATATTTCGTTACCGTAATTTTGCCCACCGTGTACATATATAACCACAATTGTACATGTTATCAGTGCTGCAGTAAATGACATTCGTTTTGGCCGCACCGCAATTTACCCACGTTGGGGCAATAGCGGCATAGCGGCTCTCATTTTTTATCACTTTCTTCATACATCTGAAAACAGTAGCTGACCTTGACAACATTAATTTTTTGCTGAACATTAGTAGCTGTGGGCCCGTCTTCCTTGCTCTTCTTTGAGGATTTCACGCGCAACTTTGCTCGATCTGAAAACTTTGTTACTTTCACTGTTTGATATGTTTTGAATTGTTATTACGAAAATGCTGTGAGTTTGAGAGGCAAATCGTTTGCTTGCGATTAATACAAATATAACATTGTTGTTAAGCGTCGATTTCGTGCAACCCAGGAAGGCAGAGAAAACAAACTAAAGTTTCATAGATGTAAGATTCTTGGATCTTTTCGTGAACTTTCATTTTTTCAAAGGAAACAAATGCTCAATGTGATATCAGTAATTGTAATGATGGTCTTCATGCTGGCTCTGTTGAGGACTTATGGTTAGGGATGAGTGACGGCGAGCGAAAGGTGCGCATTGTCTGCTTCAGTTCGCCAACAATTGTGATCAGTGTTGCTCTGTTGAACAATTACTGATGATCAACCTGGAGATAAAAGGAGAAGCTCATCTCTTCCTCATCACTATGAAAATCTTTTTGATTTCGTTGTGCTGGGACCTTCATCGTTAAACCTCCTGCAGAGCTAATGGTAGGAGATTTGTGTGGGATCCACTTCTTTCAACGACAAGTGGTGGAAGCAGAGTACCGTTTTGATGTGAGGGATAAGATTTGATATACCGGAATCTTCCATCTCCACAGCGATTAACTATCAAGAGCACGTGCGAGTGTGTGCGTGTGTATATGTGTATGTGCATCGATTCTGTAAGCAATAAGCAATGAATCTGGGCACCAACTTCAATACTGCGATGTGCTCCCAACGTTCTGCTCAAAATGATTCGAGCAGAACTGTTCTCCACCGAGGCTTTCTTTCAGATCAAAAAAAGAGCGTCAGGCATGTAATGTACTCAGGTTTAAATATAGTATGAAGCTGATGCATAAATGTGCTTTTTAGACGTATATAAATTTCGTTGGGACACCAACACTCCAGGGGATTGGGAACAAGAAATGGATATCACCTTTTTGGGTCAGGTTAT